CCATTGTGAATCTTGAACATACAAGCATTGTGTACAAGAGAAGAAAAGACGCTAGCATAACAAAAAGCATGGCTTCAAATTTAGGTTAGTGCTTCTACCGCTCAAGCAGTGGAATACCTGAATTCTGCCGCTCAGGCGGTGGAATAACTGAGTTCTGCTGCTCAAGCGGAGGATCCTACAAATGCTAATCTTTCATGCAAGCTAATAGGGTTCATGCAGATTTCTGCATTTAATGTAGAAACTTATCAGGATGCATACATCAACAACAACAACAAAGCCTTTTCTCACTAAGTGGGGTCGGCTAATAGGGTTCATGCTATATGTATATATATTTGATGTTCATGTAATTAACAACTTGGTTGATTGGATCCTTTTAGTTAAAGTCAACATATGGTATCAAAGCCAGGTTAATTCAAGTTCTAAACTCATTATTATGGAGAGATTCGAGAACTCAATTTGTGTTGTTTAAAATTCTGCAATAATCAGTTTGTAACTTAAAGACTATGATGTTATAACTGCTTTTGATTCTTTTTCTGCGAATTATGAGAAATTTATGAGTTTTACTACACATTGATCTACTAATATATTAATACTTATCTATGAACATAAGAACTGATAAATTTATGCAAATTGAGTTACATAAAGCATTAAGTGTCGATGTATTCTAGTTGGCGTACACCAAAGTGTATGTATTGATGTCAACTTGTCAAGTTATTAAACATTGAAATGAACACTTAAACCGGTTTATAAGGTTAACAAGTAAGAATTTTTCCAAAGAAATTGATTACTGGGATTGCTTATATACTGTTGTATAGTGAGTGATGATGATCATATTAAGTGTGTAAAGTTAACTTGCCTAAAGGTGTTACTTTACATGTATCTATGCATTTTTATCCTTTGCTATGCAAAACTTCTTGGAGTTCATGTTATGTGCATGGATAGTGTCTTGCCTAAAGGTAACATTTATTTTGTAATGAAGTGTGACAAGAATATCAAGTTAAGTTCTCGATCACAGATAATTATGAACTCACAAATGAAAGAATCATGTTATCTGCAGGTTTTAACATGTTGAATTTGGTTAATATTGAGAAGTTGAATGGTAACAACTTCAATACCTGGAAGAATCAAGTAGAGATGAACTTGGGAATGTTAGAGTTCACTGTGGCTTTCAAGACTCCTCAACCTGATGCACTAACTAATTCAAGCACTGCACAACATAGGGAGACTTTTGCAAAATGGGAGAGAGCTAATCAAATGTCTCTCCTCATTATGCAAAATGCTATGGAATAGCACATTCGTGGTGGTATACCTAGCTGTGACTTAGCCAAGGATTATATGGCTAAGATTGAAGAGAAATTCAAGAGGTCTGATAAAGCTGAAATAGGTGTATATCTCACTGCACTGATCAATACCAAGCATGATGGGGTGAGCAGCATTCGTGATCATTTGTTGAAATTTGGTAAACATCTTCAACAAGTTGAATGCATTGGAGATTAGGATAACAGATCAATTTCTAGTACACATGGCCCTATACTCCTTACCTGGTGATTATGACCAGATTAAGGTGAATTACAACACACAGAAAGAGACTTGGACAATCAATGAACTCATTTCCATTTGCTGTCAAGAAGAGGAGAGAATGAAGAAGTCCAAGATTGAAAAGATGGAGTTGGCAAACCTTGTCAATTCTGGGAAATGAAAAGGAAAAATGGGGGCTGCTGCGTTCAAGAATGAGAATTACAAGGGCAAAAAGCAATCAGGATTCAAACACCAAGCTGTTGCATACTTTGGTACTAAGAAATTTCACAAACATACTTCAGTTGCTGCCAAAAATGATGGTGCCTCTTCCTTCGCAGGTCTGCGAGTTAATAAAGTTCAACTTAAAAAGTGTTTCCATTGTTAATCCACTGAGCATCTAAGGAAAAACTGCCCTGGATTCAAAATCTGGTTGGTCAAGAAAGGTAATACTGAAATTAATGTTTTTGTCACAGTAGAGTCTAACATGGTTTTTATTCCTCAAAATTCATGGTGGTTTGACACTGGTTGTTCAATCCATATAACCAACTCATTGCAGGGATTTCAAAACCAGAAGAGGAAGTCTACAATGTGTTTGTTGGAAATGGGAATAAAGTGGTAGTTGAAGCTATTGGCATAATTATGTTAAGACTGTCATATGGATTTATTTTAATTTTGAACAGTGTACTGTACGTTCCTTCAATAAAAAGGAACTTGTTTTCAGTTACTCAGTTTGTCAAGGATGGTTTTTCATATGTTGGTGATGTTAATCAAATCAAGTTTTTTTTTATTCAAAACCAGTATGACAATCCAATTGGTTATGCATTCCCAAATGGAGATCTTTGGCAAATCCAATGCACGTATTATGAAGAATGTCTCAATCTTGAAACGTATGCTTGTTAATGAGAAATCTTCAATGTTGTGGCATATAACGATAGGGCATATATCAAAAGAGAGAATGTTGAGACTAATTAAGAATGGCATACTGTCAAATATTTATTTTGACACTTTTTGTTGTACCAAAGTCCTCATTGATTTTATGCATCAACAAATATCAACATAGTGGGAGAAAGCTCTGGCAAGATTTTATCGAGGCCCATAGTGCACACTATCTTCAGTTTGTACATTTTTTTATTTGCTCAATGAATATCTTATTTTCCTTAATATATATATATATATATGAGCAAATTACTACTTTTAACTTACACTAGGACCTGAAAGGACCGGGAAGGGAAAAAGTTTAAACCCAAGACAAAATAGATAGTTGAAAATGGAGGCCCAACAGTAATAATTAGGCGATACACACACACAGGGCATTGACATGTTTTAGAAAAAATCCTGAATTCAAATTTAAAACTTTGACCACAATTCCACATAACCAGACTTTCCATTTTAGTGGTGATTAGTCATTTTACCTTTCTCAACAATTATTCATAACCACCATATGCATAAAGAGGTTAAGAGCTTGTGAAGTCATTTAAATCTCTACTCCTTGTGAAGTCATTCTAAATGATAAAGAGGTCAAGAGCTTCGTGGCAATCTAAATGATAAGGAGACTCAATTGTATGGCTTAGCGCAATTTGGTTTTTATCATAAGTAACTAATGAACTATTATATGCAAGAGTACACAAAAATATGTTTAGAAATACATATATATATATATATATATATATATGTATATGTGTGTGTGCGCGCGCGCGCATATCATCAGGTGTCACCAAGGAACAAAGCGATCCATAAGCAAACACACAGTGTCCTCTGAACGCGAAGAAGAGTCCAAGTCCCTCCGGGTCTGAACCATCCTGCAGCTGTTCTCCTTTCTTGCTTCCTTAAACTCTCGTTGTTCTTGCTGCTGTTGTTCGGCGTGTTCGGCTTTCGATGACAACACCAATCGCGTCTTAGCCCCTACCTTCTCTTTCAGCTTACTCAGCTCGCTCATCCATGCCCCTACCACTGCAGCCATAATTTGGAATTACTTGAATGCTTGAAATATACTGCCTACTTTGCTGTATTGGTTTTCTGGTTTATTAAAGCTAATGAGGAGAGCTGGCTATATGCCTCTAGGGTTTATATACAAGAAGAAGTCGTGGCCTTCCTGTGGTTTGGAAGATAAATCACTGTGTGCCACGGCCGTTGGATATACGGTCGCACACAGGGTATAAATTTAGGGATATACGATGGGGGTAGAGACAGAGCGGAGACGTGAGGTACAGGGGTTCAACAAGTGAATGAAAAGCCAAAAGCGTCCCTGTGGGCGCACAGAACTTGCTGTCCATTAGATTGTGGGCGACTTTGCAATTGACATATTATTAAAGATGGTGCTAGGAAGATTGAATTTGTAAATAAAATTTTAGAAATTAAATGACTGAAAGTTGATGACTGAATAATTACTTAAACGTTATAAACATGCTCATTGCTATTTGTTACATCATTTAGTTTGTAAATTTTGTCTCCAAGTTTGGTCTCTCTAGCATTATTCTATTACTATTCATCAAGTCTTAGGTTTGATTCTTACTAAAGGCGAATTTGAACCACATTACTTCTATGTGAGGCTAAGCCCACCTCATTCCCCCTTAGTCTAGAAAATATTGTTTGGAAAAAAAATTAGTGTAGAAAATATCGATTGGTAAAAATTAAAAAAAAAAAAATTCTTTTAGGGCAACTCTAATGATTGGGGTTAAAACCTAAATTTCTAGTTCAGAAAATTTATATTCTAACCCAAAAATGGATTTCTCTTCCAATGATTTTAGCTTAAAATTATAGTTCGAAATTATTAAAGAATGAATTTAGCCTAAATTTTTTTTTCCCCATAACTTCTAAAAATATAAATGTCATGTAGATTATCCTAATTTATTTTTATAAACATTTTAATCTAAAACTATTTAGATTCCAATATATTATGAAAAATAATTGAACTGCATGAAACATGAAAGTGATGGAACAACCATTCGTAAACACACCCACCTCCCCTTCAATTGGTGTTAGAGTTGGAATTGAACTACTCAATGATTTTAACTCATAAGACCTTTTAATTTTGATTTATACCGATGACATCATCTTCGTTAATAAAAACTCATGCCAATCACAACACAATATCTTTATCATAAGATTTTTTTTAATTTTTTAATTTTGAATTGTGCCGGTTCTCCACTAAAACTTCCAAGTTATCCCAACGTGAACTCATGGAAAATATGTGCGTGAATTGATATGCGTACCACAAGTGTTGTAAACAAAAGTGTATTGCCTGCTAATTTGTGTCCTTGCTTTTATCTACAAAGACAACACACGCTTTTTTTTTTTTTTTTTTTTTTTTTTTTTGTGGTAAATCAAACTTTGGGGGTTATTTTGCTTAATTTTTGAAAGAGAATGGTCAAAACGTAAAACTAAAGAGTAAAGAGGGTGCAAGATGTAATTAACGATTTCCAATTGTTGGTGGCACCAAATAATGATTGCTGACGTGACGCACCGTATATAAGAAGATACCTTCTCCTCCCGGTTCTCCCAAGAACAGAAGGCCCTCCGTCCTCCGTCTCTGTCAGAGTCACAGTCACAGCAGAAAACTAATTCATCAGTCTACTTAATTCTGAGAAGAATGGAAGCTACGAAGCCATGGATAAACGCTTTCAGAGCAAAATCAAAGCAAGCCACGCTGCTTTGGCTCGAGGGATTCCGAGAGGCCTGCTGCCTTCACCGTGTCCTCATCCTCTGCCACCGGTCTCTCTCTCTCTCCTCTCTCCTCTCTCTCCAATAATTACTTCAATCGCACGCTTTAATTATTTTGATTAATTTCGGTTCAATTGCCTTTACTTTTTGTTTGGTTGCCGAGAAAACGGAACAAGCAAGAGAAGAAAATTCGCTTTCTTTTGCATAATTAACATTTTATTTATTATCTTTAATTTTTAATGGCAGGTCGAGAAAGCTTATGATACGAACAGGACAGTGTTTTCTATTAAACGGCTTCATTTTCTTAGGAAGGTAACTCTCTCTCTCTCTCTCTCTCTCTCTCTCTCTCTCTCTCTCTCTCTCTCTCTGATGAGTCATGAAGACATTGCAATGACACAAGGATTGGCTATAAATCTGCGAAAATTTCGTTGTGCTTTGCTTGTATTTTTCGACAGTTCAAATATTTCTGTTGATTATGATGTTCTAGAGTAGTCATATAGTATATTTTCATAGACATCTTCCAATTTTTCTTTTTTTTTTGTGCCCCTTCCGAGTAGTTTTTAGACCGTAGAAGTTCACGTTGATTGTTTTGGCGAAGTTTTTGGGTGCTCAATATAAGATGCAAATTGGGTTTTGTTGATCTTTCTGTGAGGTGTGAAAAATGTGAAGAACTACTTAAAATAACCACCTTTAAATGATTATACTAAGGTTGAGAATGTTTGTACCAATCTACTACCCTCGAAGAATTCTGCAAAGATGAGCAACTGGTATTCAAATTTGGATCTTGCATTCTTTCTATTTCATCTGGTAAGGATGGAAAGGTGTCAATTTAGGATGGACAAAGGGAAGAAATCGAGGTTCATTGTACTAAGATGGACTTAGGTCTAGGGAAAATAATTGTTTGTAGAAGCTATGAATAATGTTGATCAAACTTCAAAGTAGAGGGATTAGAATGATAGAAGAAAAGGTGCGCTTTATCTAATTGTTTGTTTATAGCTCTAACACTTTTGTCTTTCATACGAAGAACGGCTTAAGAGAAGTTTGGTATTCAATGCATTATACACCCATTGTTAATCGTCGCTTCATTGATAATGGACTGTGGATAATCAAGTTTGGTATAATCACGGGAATGGTGTTTTCAGGCAGTTTATGTTTTTTTCACCCGTTGGACCCACAAATTTTTAAAAATGCCTGATTTTTTTTTTAATTGAACACTGGACATAAACCATTACAATAATCAACTACCTTCCTATCCCAACTGTTGTGGAAATGACGTGTGGTATATTTTCTGATTCTAGAAGAACTACTGTAAACAAGAAAATTTAAAAAACACTAAACAATAAAACATACTCAATTTGGATGGTAAATAATGATTAATTTTGGTTCTTAAGAAATTTTATAATGCTTTTGGGTAATGTTATTTTCTTTTATGATCCTGGTTGATTACTTGTCCACTTTACTCTCTCTTGTTTCACAACTTTTAATTCTTCTAGTAATCCCCTTTAGGGCTTATTTGACCCTCTGAGTTAGTTTCTTTGTGTTGCTGCGTTCAAGAAATCAATATTTTAGCTTTCCTATGTTTTCCAAGACCACATTGGTGAAGAGAGTGCTTTTGACATCAAAGTGAACTAGACTGAATGAACTTGATTAATGTGTTGATATAGCCAATTCTTTTGCCCAATATTATTGAGGTTTAAATGAATCAGTTAAATTAATGATTTTGTCACAGTTTGGCTCAACTTTTCTATCTATATAGGCCTAGTTATTTCTTTTTCTGCTGAAGTTGGACTCTTATTCCTATTACTCTCGATGCTGTCAAGCTTTTAGATGCTTATATCTGGTTATCCTAGTTTCCATTTCCCAGTATTACCTCTTCATAGACATCATGTAACATAGAAGCTACTTATAAAAGTGCTTTCAGTGTTTTGCTGGACAAAGTACATTCTAAATCTGCATGCGTTAGTATTGAAATTCAATTTCCTTATTCTGTCTATTTGCAGTATAATTATCCTTAACTCAGTCATCATCCCAACTCTACACTGGATATTACCTGATAGATGCCCAGAATATAGTTCTCAAGAACTCTGCTCATTTGTTGGTACATTGAAATTTTATTCCGTCTTGCGGAATGGACTCGTACAACTCTTTTATGTAAGTATGCAGCCAATTTAAGATCCTCATTTTGTGCACGGATGGCATTCTATTGAATATTTCTTAGTGGGAAAATGGATGAATATGTATTTTTTGTGTAATGTTTTGCCTAATTAAGTTTTGTAATCTTCGTGATGTGGCCAAAGAAAGTGTATGCGTCAGGTAATATTGGATGTTTAATTCTTTGTTTCTGATTATTGTACTGGTATGTAATCTCGGTTTGTTTATTAACTTATAATATATTTCTTTATCACTATAGATGCCTGAATCACTGAAGGGATTTAATTCCTTTCTCAATTCACGGAATACATAATGTTCATTTATTTATTTTTGCTTTGCAGGTAACTTGGTTCTACCCACTGTACGTATTCAGCATTATCCTGAGCAACATCTGGTACTACCAAATTACCCCCTTTTGCTTAATTGTTTTACCCCTACATTATTTACTTGATTCTGTTTTAACTACCATAGGTATGAACTGAGCCCAGGTAAGGTATACATCTATATCTTGCAATGCAGAATGTTTGAAGTTCTGGAGGTCACCATGATCCTTTAGTGGTTATCAGGATTGGAGTGACTATAGTTTTTAATATGATATTTTGTTTAAAGTTCTGCATGTCTTTACATTTCCACTTCCCGATGCCTTTCTTTTTCCAATTTCTACTATGTGATTATCCAAATCTACAATTTTATTTTAACTAAAGGTACAATGACATTGCTAAGTATGGATTTTCTGCAATGGGGAGATCCGCGCCAACCACATTGGATCCTGTCAGACAAAATGATGTTGGTTTGGAAAGACCTGCTGGCGTAGAAGGGTAAGTAACTTATTCTTAAATAGAGCTTAAGTTTTTTATTAATGTTATTGTTTTATATATTTATTATTTCCGACATTTCTTGCTGAATAGATATTTATATATCTCATGAGTTGTGTATGCATCTGTTTAATCTGCAGGGTCATGATTGGTATAGGAGAGCAGGTGTATTCATTACTTCTTTTGAACTGTTTCTTCCTAGAGGTATAGATTTCTTTTATTCTGTATTTATTGGGTGTATGGATTCATAGAGGGATGAACAGGAATTAGATTTCATACTTATTAGACTTAGATAATGATAGAGAGAGAGGAGTTTATTTTCAAATTGAAATATGCTCCATGGCTTATGTGCCACTTTTTGGATGACAGACTTGATGGCTTCTGCAGGTATATGTGACTGGATATATACCATATGTGGGGAAGGCAGTAAATTTTCTGCTTCTGTCCTGGATGTATGCGTATTACTGTTTCGAGTATGTGGTGCATATAACTTTTTGGCTTAATATGTTGCACTCACTAATTGCCTAGATAAGTGTGTGCTAATGCACCTTTTGAACTCTTTTAGGTACAAATGGAATTTTACTGAAGTTCGTCTTGAAAAAAGGCTGGATTTCTTTGAATCTAATTGGGCATTTTTTGCTGGTTTTGGTAAATATACTTCCATTCTGGTGTCATTTTTCAGTTCATACTTCATATGCATTTTTTCCCCTTCAAGTGAACGATTGTTTATCATGTACAGTTTCCTGGGCCACATTATACGCTGATTATTTCCACATGGAAAACTATACTCTGATATAGATCTTCACTTAGAATTTTACTTTTGCAGCTACCTCATGACCCATGCTTGTGTAATCATAATTACCAAAGCTGACACCTTTATCATGTGCCTTCACTTTTGTGTTTGCAGTCAGTTCTGTTTTCACTTATTTGAAAATCAACTGTATTCGATGCTTGATTTTGTTTGGTTTGAAAGGAAAAAAGGGATAATAGTTAAAGTACTGATTGTGTCTTAATTTTTGGTAAATTAGGTTGTAAGCAAGACTAAAAGCAAAATAAATAAATAAAAGCCGAGCACAAAGACAGTTATCTAATGGTGCCTCAAATTCCCTCTTGAAATGCAATATTTTGACTTCAAGAGCATATCACATGGAATATGTTCTAGATGTTTTTAGGTACTTAAAACACATTTGTTTATATGTTTGGAGTTATTAATGTCCTCAATGGTTGTGCAGGGAGCCCTTGCGTTCTGCCTGTACTCTTTTTCTCACCTCTTGTGAGCTATGGATTTATGGCAATACTCTTTCCATTGGTATACTTTTCTTTTTTTTTTGTTAGCAATTGACTCTTTACATAAAAGTTGACTATGTTCTTGTTATTCACATATGTCGTAACCGTAGATGTTTCCAGTTTGTTTTGACAGCAACAGGTTCAGAGGCTGAGCAAGTTATTTCTTCTCAAAGGACAAAATGGGGAGGTGCTGGGTTGCGAAAGCTTCCAATATTTAATGCTGCAGATAAATTATCGTAAGCCCCTCATTACATATGAATCTATGATCTCTGTGCTTAAAATATGTTGATTCAAACTTGATTAAAAAAAAAAAAATCCTAATTTCGTTATCGTATATTGGATGGATATTGGAACATTTTCTGTTGAGCATATGCATTGAAAATGGATATTATGCATTGAACTCCAAAAAATACGAACAGTTCGTCATCTTTCATGTGTCATGAGGCAGTGTTTGACATTTGAAGGACAGACTCAGTTACGCTTAAACCGCAAAATGGGGTGTGTAGGTCCTCAAACTTAAAACTGCTATTTTGATGAAATTAGTGACAATATGTTCAATATTATATCGTTGGTCCTGAATTTGAGGAAGTAGCATTATTTGAGTTCTTATAGGGTCATGGAAAGCGACATTTCTATCTGTTTTGACTCTCGATTGATCTTGTACAGGATGCGGGTTTTGTCTCTGTTTCCCCTAGAATCTCAGGAACTGCTTCAAAAAAAGAAAGACGCTAAGAAGTTTGGCTTATTCAACTGTAAATAGTAAGTAAAAAATTTCTATATGACCATAAAGTTTCTATTGTGCTTTCATATGTATGAGATGGTCCTAGTCCTTGAATTTTCCATTCAATCAACGAAGTCGTGGATGCGTTGCGTTGCAGGTTTTATCTTATTGATATGATAATAATATCTTAAGTCATATGTGGTGTTTGGTGCCACCGGATGATCCATCTCCACGCAAATTTGTACATAATTTAAATGCAATGCTATTGCTTCAAGATAGAGCGTCATTGGAAGGGTTTTACGGTTTCGTTCGGTATATTGTACGTAGAAAGTAGGTGTCGACCAAAGTTTATCAAATGTACAGAAATAGTATTTCATCAAAGACCAATTTCGGTGGTCAAATTTGATCAACATATCATGCAAACATGTCTCAGAAGTACTGCTACAACTTCTTTTGTTACAACATGTCGCTTTCACAATTTGTTTATCGTGATTCACCCGTTGTTATGGAACCTTCATATGCAATGCCCAATGGTAGGATTTGAGTTTGGATCCTATATTTAGGGTAGCGCTATTCACACACTCCTATCAATTTTCTGACCACCAGATTGAATGAATTAATTGTAAAAAATTAACAAGGGTCTGTAGGAGTTAAAAATAGGTGTGTGAATAGCATTATCTTAAATATAAATTCCTCCACTCATGTTCCCAATGAACAAATTTGATAATTTTATCATTATTGCTTTCATATGAATATGATAAAGTGTCGTACCAGCTATGGTGGGGAGGGAAGAACCAAACTCGGAGCTTCAGGTGCAAGGTTAAATGATCTTCTAGCCGACTAAAACTACAAGCATCTTGCTTTGGTTAATATATAGCCAAAATTGTAGAGATGAGGAGTCGAACTTAGTGCACAAACGAGAGCAAATTGGACTACCAATGTTATTTTTATAGTATTAGTTTGAAATATTATTATTTTTTTATTACAAAATGATATTATAACTCTGATCGTGTTAAGAGGAGTGAGGAGGATTTAAACTCGAGATAATCTGGGTTGAAAAAGAACACCATATGTACCGACATGCATCATTAATTTGAAATATTACTTTTTCTTCCATATATATGCTAGGATTTTTTATCGTAAATAAGATGATCTGGAGTTAAGGATTCTCTGAATTTTTTAACCGTTAACTTTTTATTTAAAAATATAATAATTAAAATATAACGATTGAAAATATCATTCATGCAATCATGAGAGAGATTTTTTAATATGGTTAGAACACATTGTGGTACGCTATATGTTATTATAAAAGTGGTGAGAAGCTTTTTCTTTTCAAATATCCCTCTACTTTTATGATGACATATAATATATGTGCCTGTGTTATGAGCATACTAAAAAATCTCTCGAATTATGCATCGTCTGGGTAATATGCTCTTTCTTCAGCCACGCGCCATATTCCAATCTTGCCAAAACCGCACTTACGACACATATGATTGGAGCACGTGAAAGCGCGTGGAAGCATAATTGAAAGACGATCTTATTCCCTCGACAAACAGATAAAGTAGTACTACCAGACTGGTGGCTCCGTGACCATTGATGATGATCGAGCAGACCAACCAGACCAACCAGACCCCATCCTAACCGTCCATCTACTTCAAGCAAACAGTCATTTGGATAAGTTTTAAGCTTAGCATGTTGGGATTAAGTTAATCATTTTTTCCCAACTTTTTGTGAGCATGCAAAGTCAAACTAGTATCCCATAACTTAAATCACTTTATTATGCTTAATCCTTACAGCATTGGGTTAAGTTAATTAATCCCAGTTTCTTAACCTTTTCCCGCGTAAATTGCGCCATTAGTGGAGCTCTTAAATATGCTAATTGCGCGTAAATTTTAGTTAAGTGAATATGCTCAGAATACGTATTTTTAACATTTTCTTATGAATTGGGTGAAAGTTGAGTTTGTCTCGTGTGTCAATTGCTAATCCTAAGGCTTCAAATGCATTGTTAAAGGCCTCGTTTGGAAGTGCTTTTAAAATAACTGAAAGCGTTTTTAGCGAAAATATTTGAGTTCCAAAAACACTTAAAATGTTTCTTACAAGAATCATCAGTCATGTGTTTCTTGCATAAAGCAGTTTAAGTGTTTTTTAAGGATTCACTTGCATTTTAACTAAAGATTGGTTCAAGAACATTTTCAGCAGAAACGCTTTTATCCATTTTAAAAGTACTTTCAAATAAGTTAAAAAGTTGGTTGGTGGATTTGGGATTACACTTGCATTTGATTATTTTTCTTCAAAATAATGAAATTAATAAAAACTATGTTTAATGTTTTAGGAAATTGCATTAGTATTTTGGTGAATAATTACCACAGGAGAAGGAGTACCTTTATACTTCCTCCGCGTTTACTAACACATACTGAATATATAAATATTCCAATTCTTTGTTTACGGATATGCCTAATTGTGTCTCCTACCTTACAATTTGTAATCCAATACTTAAAAAGTATAGAGTAGATTGATTAGGAGACATGATTTATCTCATTCTCATTCATTCTCTCTCCTATTACAACCTTCTGCATTTATTCCATCCAATTGTGGCTCCTACATTATAAATCGAGACTAGACTACAATACTTACATGTATTTAATACAATCATCATCTTGATGGTTAAATGATGATTGTAATACATACAATATGCGCATTAATTATGCTTAACTATCATATAATGATTATATTAAATACATGCAAGTACTATAACTAATCCTTATAATTTGGCAAGTTCTTTGGATTTAGCTTTCTTGGTCTATATGGGTTTGGACTGATGTCGTACATGCCAACGTGTGCATGCACATTTGTTGGCCTTCGAAAGGATGACAAGAGCTTTCGGTACTATTTGTACCTGCTTTTGTATGCACTCAATCTACATATTCTAAGTTGTTGGATGAGAGAAATATTGAGAATCAGATTTGTTTCCGGATAAAGGATGAGTCAATTGCATTATCAATCTAAGTTCAAAATCCTAGTCAAAGATAGTGAGACTTGGCGGCGATATAGTTTCAGGAAAGAGTAATTCCAAGTGTATTCAGAGAAGATGTCGAAGAATTGGAATATTGTCGTAATGATACTATTCGGTAGACTTGGCCATCAAGAAATTCATCCCTATAAATACAAGAGGATTTGCAACTTAGAGACTTCTTCCAACTCAAAACGCTCTATGTAAAAATCTTTGCTCTACGAGAAACCCTTCTCACAACTCTGAGAAAAACACTAATTATCCTTACTCTCTTGTCAATACATCTTTAGTTTGGATAAGTAAACAACATTGTGCTGACAACCTGTGACATCTTCAATTTGGATTAACTATGAAATCCCGTTCCTGAATTTCACTATTGTAAACTATGTATTTGTATTAACGAGATTTTATATTATTTTTAGGAATTTATATTAATTTTATTAAATTTAGATTTTAATTAAATTAATTACGAAGTTTCCATTTTGGTCATTAATCGTTAAAAATTCGTAGACCTTATGAGGTCACACTAAGAATAATGGAACAAAGCAAGATCCTATGAGTACGTAGGTGAAAATCGTTCGCGGAACGAAGTTATAATGAATGAGATATAAATGAACAAATATAAAGGACCGTTGAGATCAAGCCACATGTGTGGCTGTAATAGGGAAATGAGAGGAGAAAGGAGGGAAATGAGAAAGAATGTCGAATGGGAAAGAGTATAAAGGAGGGAAGGCAGAGAGGAGAGGAGCACCGGATCCCCTTTGACCCACCGACCTGACCCGGTTCCCTTCGACTCTTCGACAATTTTTGTCACACCCCGGCCCAGGTTGCGTGTGTGCCGACGAGGATGTCGGGCCCCTAAGGAGGGTGGATTGTAACATCCCACATCGCCCAGGGGAGTGATCCTTAAATGTATATTCACATCCCTACCTAGCACGAGATCTTTTGGGAGCTCACTGACTTCGGGTTCCGTAGGAACTCCGAAGTTAAGCGAGAAGGAGGCCAGAGCACTCCCAGGATGGGTGACCCACTGGGAAGTTGCTCATGAGTTCCCAGAAAAAAAACCGTGAGGGCGTGGTCGGGGCCCAAAGCGGACAATATCGTGCTACGGTGGTGGAGTGGGCCCAAGAAGTGGTCCGCTCCGGGGCGGGATGTGACAATAGGTATCAGAGCCTAACCCTGGTCGTAGTGTGCCGACGAGGACGTTGGGCCCTAAGGGGGTGGATTGTAACATCTCACATCGCCCAGGGGAGTGATCCTTAAATGTATATTCTCATCCCTACCTAGCACGAGGCATTTTGGGAGCTCATTAGCTTCGGGTTCCATCGGAACTTCGAAGTTAAGCGAGTAGCGCGCGAGAGCACTCCCATGATGGGTGACCCATTGGGAAGTTCTCGTGTGAGTTCCCAAAAACAAAACCGTGAGGGCATAGTCGGGGCCCAAAGCGGACAATATCGTGCTACGGTGGTGGAGCGGGCTCGGGAAGTGATCCGCCTTGGGCCGAGATGTGACAATGTTTCGTTGGTTTTTCCGGTGAACCACGTTAAACAACCACCTGGAAACATTTCACAACCTTCCCTCTTCCAATTTCACCCTAAAACCGATGAAATTGGGCTTGGATTCATGAAGAACCGCACCAGTGGGTGCGGTGGTTCCTCGGCGGCGATTCGCCAATCTTGAAGTTCACTCCATCGATTACCATCATCAATCTACTCCCTCAACCTTAGGAACAAAGCCCAACCAGTGGTTAAGGCTTCAGAGTTTGTTTTGAAGTTGAATCGAGAACACCCACTTCTAGGGTTCCGATGGATCGAGGGCCATTTCAGGTGTTTCCAAGCCGAATTGGGCTTCGACCAATGTATGAGAAATGTTTCCCTCATTGAGATGTACATGTAAAATTTGGTAATTTTTTGAGTTAGTTGGAAAATTGAGTACGTGATGCGGTGCGTGGCCAGTGGGCCAACTTTATCTTTCTAGGCTAAATTTGATAATCTGATTTCATATTTGACATCCGTTTGATGAAATTCCACCGTTGAACCTAGTTCCGCTAGGGTCCGCCACTTGACTAATATAGAAAACGAGGATCGGACTGTTAGATCGTCACTGAATTTTAATATGTTATCATACATATTATTTAAGGACTCTAGAAATTTATGGATCGGAAATCCAGCGAATAGATCTTCCTGATTGAATTACTAGGGTTGACTTTGATCCAAATGTTTGTAATCGTTCTTTAGTTCTAAAATTAGTAATACTAGAGACTTAGTGAAGCTTTGAGTGACTTTAATATATGGGATATGTTTATGAGCCTGATTTCTATGTAGTATCCTTTGCGAATATGACTTGGTTTTATAAAGTTGATTTCTATTAAAGAGTGATTTTTAATATTTAGCCATTGCTATATTATTATGAAATGTGATTTGAGTTGTGTATTGGACATATTTGTGAAATGTGATTTGAAATGCATGTTGAATTGTTTATGAAATGT